ACAAGAGTACACTGTGTACATTGTGACCAAAGTATACGAAACCCTCTCCTCGTATCCGTTACAAAATTCAATCTCACTGACGCCTATATCAAATAGCAGATCAAAAATAGCGAACAGAACCCAAGATGAAGTAAACGTGAGGTCGATTAGCAGCGAAGTTATTTCGCCTCAGCGTTAGGGTCAACCCCTAATTGACTCCATGCTGAGACTAATGGGTTCCCTGGTTGGAGCTGGAGACTCTAGATATCTTATGGAAGGTGCCAGGTTTTTAAAATAGCCCTAGCAAAGTCTGATACGAAATGTTATTTTATATGTGCAGTTAGTATTCTTCAGCAAACAAAAAACGCTTCTATGTCTCTGTTTTTGGAAAGTACGTTATTTTCCCACAGTCAAATTCGAAAACGGAACCTTTAAATCGGTATGCCAGTGAATATAAAAATCACGGGAAATTTATAAACTACAGTGGATTCCGGTTAATTGGGACACATCGGGACTAGAACACTTTGGCCTAATTAAGCGGTTGCCCCAATTATGCGATGTTCCACGTAAAGAGTTAAAAAGGTTTGTTCTTTAAGATTTGCCCCAAATAAACGGCTACCCCGATTAACCGATGGTCCAATTAACCGGAATCTACTGTACTTACTGCCCCCACACGTAATGTGAACGAAAATACTAACTATTCATTGCTCGTTAACAAAATGTTACTGGACTTGCATGTCTTCTTTAGAGTACCACAATCTCACAATCTGCATATTTCGGTGTCCATTTCTGTTTGGTCTTGCTGTCAATCCCATACGAAATTTTGAAACAGTTGAATAATCTACAGCCGCATAGTTCAAATGAGTATTTGTGCAAATTAACTATGTGCATTAAAAAAAATCATCATCAGGACTGGAGCTTGCGAATTTGATCTTTGCATGTACACCAGGTCCCTACTTATCTCCAGAGAAGTATGGATGGATGGCAAAGCCTTCGTCACGTTTCGGGAAAGTTAGCATTAATTCATATGTTTCTTAAACTTCTTAGTAAACATCTGGCATCAATAATCGTAATTTATGGAAGTTAGACAAACGTTTTAATGGGACAAGCAGAAGGCTATTGTGGTAGAAATTCTGACAACTGTACTCTTAAGTCGTTTCTGGATTTGGACTTTAATTGTTTTAAGTGCGATTTTTCTGTTGCACAGAGTGTACGTGCGATTGGTATTATTACAGCAGATTGCTGAAGGATACAATTCTGAGTCCGTAAAGCCACGCATGTATAATTAACCGGTTAAATATAGTAACATGGAACAGGAAATCGATCTTTGATACGGGATGGATATGGTGTGTGGGCCAAGGGGTCGCGTGTCGCAGACCACAAAGTCGATACGTAGAGTCGATATTTTGCCCGACTGCACTTGAACACAGCCTCGTTAAGCCGTGTCACCGAGTCCTCAAGTTCAGATCGACTGCGTGCGTACCCTGGGGACGTTGGTAAAACAACAGGCTGTCCTTGAAGCATTTGATGACTGTTTCAGGCTGTTTCGTGTAGAATGAGATAAGGAGGGACTTTCTTCGTACCTTAGGGCTGTGTGTATTGTCAAAGCGTTTGTTTAGATCTAAAATTTTATCCGTAAGGTTTGATGTTTTCATGGTGATTTTGGAAAACACGGTGGTCTGTGTTGCTACGCCGTGTAGCATCTTTGCTGTGTGCCAGTGTTTCGGAGGAACATACTGCCTCCATCTTCAGCGCAATAATCCATAGACAACCATCTGTAAATCTTACACGTGGTTTTTTGCGGACGTAAAACTTAATAATAGTCTTATTGCAATAGAAAAATGTTACGGAGAATGTTTTATGTGAATATTTACACCTAATAGAGAAAATTAAGAAAATTACATACTGAGGAGCTTCATAATTTGTGTTCATAGCGTACTATTATAGGTGTTCCAAGGAGGATACGATGGGCGATATATGTAGCACTCATGCAAGTGATGGAAAGTTCTTACAATATTCAGTTCGAATATGTGAAAGTAAAAGACCATATAAGAGGACTGGACGTAGAGGGGGAGGGGTCACACTGAATTTTAATAAAAGGAACGAATGTATGAACTGGATTTACGCGGCTCACAAAAGGGCGCATTGCCTTGTTCCTTTAAACACGTAACAAGTTCCATAAAATGAGGTATTTTTTGCCATTTGAAGGATAATAAACTTTTGAAGGCCCTTGTTCCGTGTAATTAGTTTTTTGGACATATATTAATTTGTATATAGGCCTTTTTCGTCTGACTTCCTGAATTAGAAATTAACAAATAACCTTTTTAAAAACGTTCACAAAGTTAAGCGTTTAAATATGTCTAATGTGACTACTTTGTCAAAATTTAATTTTAGCCTCGTTAGTAATTTACTTCCCTTCGTACGTTTAGATGCCAAATTTATTCAGGTATTTAAAAGTTCCAGTCATGGAACTTGAGTCAACCTTAAAACGTATTTCTTACTGTCGTATTTTACATTATTTTTCTTGATAATGGCTGCTTTAGAAGTGTCACAATTCTAAACGGATCAATACAAATTCCTAAAAATTCGGCGCTCGGGAAACCCAGTTATACCAAACTAATCAAGCTCAGAAAGTTTATTCAATACCAGAACACAAAAAAATTGTCACGCGTTTCTTGCAACGTGCATGTAAGTATCGATAATCCGCCTTCTTCGGTAGTTCCACCTTGGCCACCAGATCGCAGCACATCATTGTCTACGTAATGACTACCCTCAACCGTCATTTTGTTATCACCGCTCGCAGGATATTCAAATGTACGATTTTGAGGTCGTACACATCAAATTTAATCCGAATCCGTTCAGAATCTATTGGGCAGGTGGACGGACATACAGGGACGACCAACCCATAATGCGTTCTCGCTATACACTTCGTGCAGAGAACATTTCAGAGACAGTTTGGTACCGAGGGCTCGAAGAAACCAGCTGGACTGAAGTTGGATTGTGCTGCTTTGTGTAGCCGTTTGATCCAATGAAAACATGTGACCTTCACGTCCCCACTGACGTTTCTACTCTAGGAAGTTCCTCCAGGTGCTTTTAGCTTGTTGATTATGATGATACGTCACTCCTTTTGTCAATTGTGAGAAGCGACTGCAGGTTCTGTTGTTCGAAGGAAGGAAACGTTTGCGCAATCATGTAGCCTCGTGTGTGCCCCTTTAATAACTTTCTGTTATAGGGATTCTGATTAAATTTGGCATGCGCGTTCTTCCTGTAAAGGTCGCCATATTCTTGTACTCTAATGTTTAATTTCGTACCATCAGCTTGGCTGTCGTGAGAACACCTTAGGTGCGTGCGGCTTTAACACCATTATCACTTACGTAACTTAGGCTTCTAATTTAGTTTCTGTTGTCCTGTATAAACTCTGCAGACCCTCTCCAATAAAATCAACTAATTTAATCGAGCAGAGACCTTCCCCAGAAGCTGATAGTACACATTTAGTCAAGAAATTCTCTCGTCGATTGGATCCCGGAGTTTCAATACTGTTTTCACAAGTCCACGCCAGCGGTCTGTGCTCTCAGCCTGAAGAATCCAGGTTTTACAATACAATTTTGTATCCTTTGCCACCGTAGTCCGCATTACATGCCCCGCCCAACTCATTCTTCTGATTGGACATCCCAGTGATAGGCATGTTTTGTCAAGAGTATAATTAATTTATAGAGTTCTTCGTTGTGCAGTTTCATTCACCCTCTTGTCACTTTATCCCTGTTAGGTCCAAATATTCTCCTTATTATCCTGTACTCAGAAACTTTGATCCTGTGATCTTAGACTTGTGAGACAAAGTTCACTCCCGTATAAAACAACATTATATTTTTATTTTAAAGGTGTTCCGTTTTAATATTACGTTTGTGGCAGCAGACGGGAAGACCACAGATTTTAAACTACACGGTATCATGCGTTCCCCGAATTTAGTCTACGACTAAGTTTCTAGTGAATTCAATTTTAAGTTATTACTGTCGTAAGATAGTATAATTGCGTAATATTATGAATCAAATATTAAATTAATTATTCGGTTTTGTCCGTCTAATCACAATTATATTTAAAATTTACAAATAAGATGATTAAAATATCATTTTATGTTCCAAATGTAAATCGATTATTCGATGTGGAACATAAAATGATATTTTAATTATCTTATTTGTAAATTTTAAATATAATTGTGATTAGACGGACAAAACCGAATAATTAATTTATTATTACTGTCGTTTCTAAGTATTCGAATTTTGTCACATTTAAATTACTTATAAGCTCCTTTTATCTAATTCGATCCTTTAGTCAGTCTGGTGACCACACGTGATCACATTGGTCTATTAAGATTCCCTTGAGTTTGCCTCTAGAACGGCTTCATTAGTATAAATTGCCATCCAATGCAACTTATGTGATTTCTTATTGATATTTGTATTTTCTCCCGATTCATTAAGATCATCAGTATCGATGTGTCCCATTAAATTCCAATCCTTTTGGTTTGCTAACCTTTGAAATGGCGTATTCTAAAACAGAGTTGAAAAGCAATGGTGATAAAGCATATACTTGTAGGATTTGAGGTTATCACGGCGGTGAGTCTGAAGATGGCTGTCTCCTGGGTTGTTGAAGTTTATCATCGTTTCAGAGGTCCTTGTTGCCTCCATCATCAGGGGGCAGGACCTCTGAAACGTCGGTAAACTTCTACCAGACTACACGGCTCAACAACCCAGAAACATCTTGTTTCGGTGCATTCTGGAAAGGAAATAAATCGGACATGTTTGCTTATACGAACCTTGCAGCAGGTTTTGAATACGTATTAACGTACCAAATTTGTTTCGTGGTATACCGAATGCAATGAGAATGTTGTGTATAGTTTCCGGTTTGACTGACACATGACTTTCTTTCAGTCTTCGAAGGAAATGCTCGACGTGCAATGCAACAAGCGAACAGTGTGGCTAGTGAGGAATGCCAACGTTACGGAACGTACCCTTTACGATTTGCAGGCAAGCGCTGAAACACCTGAGCGTCAGTACCCCGGTAATGACACAAGCCCGCCCTCAGCCTGCCTGTGACCCCCTGGTGACACCCGCGGGGCCGCCATCACCTGAACAGCAGCCAAGCTCCAGCAAGTCCCGGCAGAAGAAGTTCCACCGCCACTTCAAGCAGGTTGCAGCAGAAGAACACGTCCTAAACTGTGAGTGTCGTTCAGAAGTTCCGCTATAGGCGGACGGAACATTTTCCTTCCGCCCGCAAGTTTGGCTAATGTATGTATTAATACTTTTCCAGATCACATCTGGTTTTTGTAGATTCTTTTTATTCTCGGTACCGAAATGCGTCTAGTACAGTAGTGAACGAGATTTATTGCGCTCGGATACTGGGAATGCAAATACCGATGTTGCTTTGACTTGTGTACACGGAGATATTTTGGCGGGCCGATACCTTGACCAAGAAGTCCCACGAAATATCTAAAACAGTGGTTCTCAGACTTCCACTGCCGCCGAACACATGTTAACTCACAGAGACTTATGTTTTAAGGACTTATTTTTAATTCATAGTCCTTTATTCAGAAATTTTAATTAAATCCAAGAAACATCAGGCGCGAAAAATGTCCGAAATCGAAAGTTATGCAAGTTTAGAGCCGGCGTTATATTTTGAGTTATTCGTAATTTACTTGAATTTATCCTGTGTGCCTTCTTCTGCATTTAATTAATTACAATCATATATGCCAGATACGTATTAATCAAAGGGACCATCATGTGTGCCTAATTTAAAGAAAACGAACGAATACCAATGACTTCTCTGTGACGTGGAAACTAGGGTCCACGGCAAAACTAAGGTAGTGAATGTTCTTCGCTTGGGAATCTACATTCGTTAGTAGTTGTAGTGGTTAACCTAGCAGACTAGCCTTTTAAAGTGAAATATGCGTGTTAGAGTCGTGATAGTGTGTTGATTCTTTTTCACTACATATATTTTATTCACACAAATACTAATTTAAATTATTCAGCTAGATCTTAAAAAATGTTTTTACGCAACTCATACTTAAGGAAACTGAAAGTGGACTCTGTTACTTGTAAAAAAAATGCATAAATTTTCCTTGACTGCAAAACATTCTCAGTTCAGTAACTTTTCTCAGCGAGCGAAAAACACTCATTAATATTATCCATATTATCACTGTGTTATCTATACAGTATTTATGAGGTTAAAAGTGTGAGGGACGCAGACTTATTTGTTTCCAGTGGTTTTTGTTCATTGGCATTATGGTTTAATGTTTCGTGTTACACTCTGAATGTGGACAAAAATTCTATGTGCAAGATACGAACTTTAGAGACATTTGTATCTCTTAAAGTGTACCATGTACTTATCACAACAAGAATTAATATACTAAGAAAGAAATTACAAGCTCTGCTATCGTTCATACAATGTCTGCAATCTCTGGTCTTCGGCCTCGAATCTAATTCGTCTTGATTTAGAGATCGTACACAGCATAATTACGAAGCAACTTCATCCCAGGCGTCTGACATGAGTGTCTAGAGATGATCTCTTTTTCTGGGAGGGGCCAGATTTCTAACTTGCTTTACTTCACCTCACTGTCACGGTGTACGACGACATCGGTCTACCGCGATAGTCTTCTTGAACCACAAGGAAAAGGAGAAGATAACTGTCTTCTGCGTTATTGCGCCATGTAGTCTGGTAGATATCCACCGTTTCAGAGGTTCATGCTGCCTCCATCATGATGATGATGGAGGCAGCATGGACCTCTGATATCTACGAGACTACACGGCGCAACAACCCAGAAGACAGAAATCTTCATACTCACCGCCGTGGAAACCTCAAATCATACAAAGGAAAACTGGAATGAAGGACTGGTTTTGTTGGAACTGAATTACCCCATCAGTATAAAGCACTCTTTAAAATTAACTCTTCAAGACGTGCTGAGAACTGAAGCTCGTTTAGGCGTTTTCTGTACGGGATGTTCCATCTCCTTAGTGGGAGATCCAACTCCGGCAGTGAACTGACACTCACCCAACCGCTGTGTGTGTGTGAGGGAGACGTATATTGAGTCGTAACGCTCGCTGTCTGTGGTCTGCAAATTACAACCAGCCCATAATTTGCTCAGCTAAATGTCAATGACTATATATGCTCTTAGCAAATGCTAGTTGGTAGAGTTGATGTTCATATGTGAGCACTTCTCTTCATCGCACCACGTCGTAATCTGAGACCAGCTTCTTTCGTTTCTGCTCAATGAAGTTGATAGCGTAGGTTACTATCGCAGCATACTGTAGGCATGCTGTCACCCTGGGACCGACCGTCCACCTGTACCGTCGTCTTCGAAAGGGACGATGACTTCGCGAATATTTACAGTCCGCAGACCAGGAGAAAATCCCTGCTAGGAATTCGTTAAACGCGCATGCGCAAGATTTCGCGGTGAGTGACGACGCATCCTAAAAGCATTCGTTCCACAACCCCTGAACGAACAACAGACGACAGGCTTTCATGTGTTCTAATGGGTACAGCTTTAAGATTACCTCACAGCAGCTCAGTGATTTAATCTAGAATATTATCGCAACACCCGCAGGTGCACTCACTACACGCTGCTATTAACTGCTTGATGTTTTCAGTCTGTGTAGTAGCATAAAACTCTGACGTATCACACTTCCCACCGATAGCAACCCACTAGTCCAGTTGATAAGTAACATTCCCCCCGCACCGACCAGAAACGACTCCCCCTTGCAGGGATTTTCTCGTCATCTGTGGACAGTATTTGTAGTTGAAACTACGCTTTCTCAGTAGGTCAGACTATACAGCGTTGACTGTTCACCAATAGATGAGCCATATTGATGAAGGAATGAAGTTGGAATGGTTTGAGCCTAATACGTTGGTTATATTAGGCAGGATTTACCAATATATGAGGCGTCCGGACATTCCCCCATTGCATTTTTAAACTAATAAAAAGTGCACGGGGTGACCATTATAATATACGAAGTCGATGTCGGACATACTGACATTGAGGTGTGGTTTAATTCACCTCACTGTCTGGCCCCTCCCAGAAACAGAGATCATCTCTAGACACTCGTATCGAGACGTCTGGGATGAAGCTGCATCGTAACAATGTTATGTACGATCTCTAAGCCAAGACGAATTAGTTTCGTGGCTGAAGATAAGAGATTCCAGACGTATGAACGACTACAGCGCTTGAAATTTGCTCTTTAAGTCACAACATTTTAATTCTTGTTTTGTGGTAAGTACATGGTACACTTTAAGGAATATAATGTATAATACGACATGAAAATACAGCCATCCTAAACTGTTCTGTTTGCAACAAAAATCGAGCGCTTAAAATATTCCAAGTTTGAAACCAGAACTGATGAAAGCGTGCCTTGCAGACGCGTATCTGTTGAAATGTCAGTTCATTTCTCGCATTCCTTTTATGATAATCCTTGCTGAGAGGGAACAAACGGGTTTCGACCCGCTGGAAACCTTCTGCCACTGTTCCTTGCTCCGTTGCGTATGAAAGATATCCTTGAAATTACTCCCGTGTCCATTTAAGACACCGTTCGGTGTCAAAAAGTAGTCTACGAATTTTTCTTCAACGCATGTCCTCAAAAATTCTGTTCTGCTTAAGACGGGTTCAATTTGTTCACGTGCCAAGATAATTATAATAATCGTAACTTTGCAATGAAAAAAGTATTTAATTTGTCTTCGTAAAAATGCTACCAAAGTATGTTAACCTCTGAAACCATGTTATACCACCCGAAACATTTCACAAATTATGTAAGCTGGAAAGGTTGGCCAGCAGTGAATAAGGAAATTCTCAGCGCTTTTAAGCAATTATTTCTTGGGAAAATGGTGATTAGGTTCTTTGTAATCGCGGGAAATATTATGCTGTATGGATAAATAATAAATCATTTGTTTATGTAACTTGAGGGTGAAAGTGTTATAAGCACATGTACAGTTATTACGGGGCCAGCGCAAAGGTATTTGGCACCCCCCTCCCAGCAACTACAGAAAATTAATTCAGTGCACTGGTAGGAATAAAAATTCTGAATTTAAATTACAGAGATAGTCCCCATAACAAAGGAGAACGTGGTACTGAATATAGTACATTTCTGTTTTTCTGTATTGTATACCAACAGCCGATAAACGAGACGTTTGCGTAGTGTGTTAACTGGATTGGGTGTCTATATTAACGGTTCATGCCAACTGTAGCAGATGTCAAGGTCTTTCCAGTGTGCGCTGTTGACGCGACTGAATTTGCTTTAGTTAGCTGTTGGACAGAACTGCGACAGTTCCTTGTCGCGACAGAAATATTATTTTTAAAGTTTATACCAGTTCTGTTCTAACGACATGTGATGCTAATTGGCATTTCAAATATGGAACCAAATGTTGGTTCTCTTGCGGAGCAAAGGCGAGCCCTGGTTTCACATTAATGAGGTAAGATTAGGCTATTGTTATTGTAATGTTGTTTTGTGGCGGTTACGATAGATATTTGAATGCATTTTTTAAGTGTGGCCAATTAGTACACACTTCGTATTAAGCGTGTATTAATTGAAATGCGCATTAAAATAAGAGTTTTATTTTCCGCGCTTTCAGTTTAGAAAACGTAGATACAGATCCGCTTTTTTTTAAATCTCATGTTGTATTGACAAGGAGGATAGCCCAAGTCTTTCTTCCGACATTGAGGAACAAATTGATCAGCTTTAGCGTGGAAAAGCTTATACCCCTGATATCTCTTTATGTCTGCCATGTTGGTACGTCACAGAAGAATGATTTTACATTGCTCAGGTATCAAGGTTATGTGGTAGATTTTTTCGTTGCATTTTATGTTGAATTCTGATCATAGCGTTGCAACAGATTACTTAAATGTATGAATTGTTTGTGACAGAAACTTCCAAGTATGCAATGAAGTTACTTGCCATTTGATATCTGTACATGTAACCTCCAAAGGAAAGAAGCAGTAAGACAACCAAAACAACCGAGTAAAAGCAAGAAATTTGTCGGAAAAATGACACGACTAAAGGTACAACTCCAGAGGCAATCCTTTTGTCAGGTTTCATTGTTGACTTCACTGCCCACACATTAACCTTTTGTTTTCGATGCCAAGTATTGTTGGCGGAACATTAAAAAGCCCCGACCTTAGACATTTATACTTTCCTACCTTCTCCTTCTACATTTGGAAGCTTGTTATAATTTTGTTCTATGCCATGTGCCATTCTTTTTTATTAGTACTGTTTTTTCCGCCCCAAGCGACCCCCTAGTTTGCAGAGTGGTTAAACCGGCTGTGTGGATGTATCAAGAATGGAAAAATGAAGAAGTGTAAATAACTAGTTTGAATAGTCGAGGCTTCCGCCACGACAAAACCCCCGTTAGCGTAAGCAAATTAACGTTTTAGTTATAAGGCATTTCCAGCAATGCGTTTCGTACGCAGGAATAGTGTTACCTAGCAAGGGACGATGTCTTGCGCTTGCGCAGGACTCAGTCCTTAGTTTGCTTTCTGGTTTGGTTAGAAACCTTGCCTTGGCTACAGACAACCGGCAACAGATTTTAACTCAGGTTGTAAATTAAGGAGGCGGCCTGCAGATTTTGAAAGGCAGCTGTGAATGTGCGATTTTAAATACAAAAGTAAGGAACAGCTTGGAAGCTGGGTGGGTTTTGATAGCCCATCGCCGTAAAAATGACAAGGTTATGAAGTGTTGCAGAAGGCCCAGGACTTGGGCGAACATGTGGCATGTAGAATGTAGCAGGCACCTTGGTTACCATAAAAGGTGAACGGTGCTAGAACAGTTGAGCGACTGTTAGCTTCTCAAAAAAACCCTGCACTGTTGAGTTCATTGCTTCGGCCTGCGAGGTGTGTTGCGTAGGGACGTTTGGTATTAGGCAGTGTAGGGCGATACATGTGGGCCCCCGTTTGTCATTCCGGCGTCGCTACGTATTTTTAGTACGGGCCCTGAATCAGGAATTGCGGCTGTCCTCCCGCGCGTTCCACTAGAAGCTGGGTGGGTCCTAGATATGACCAGTTTAATTCTAGGAATTCGGTGGGAAAGTTTTTTGCCAGATTTAGTGTATCAAAGAATCATAAAGTGAATTAGCTTCAGAGATCTGCGTTATTATCCTTGCCAGTGCTGTCCTATTTTATATCACGTGACAGCCGTGACGCATTTCTCAGGTCATGCTCAAGGACAGATGGTTCAAAAAATGGAGCATTGCCCACTGTGCATGAAGTACAGGAAATTAACTTGTGAATTCCACCGTCTACTTAGATTCAGTGCAAAGAGATCGCAAGCAGTTTCAGTGAGGTACGGCGAATCTAGTGCCGAGGTCAAGGAAGAGAGGAGCTATACCTCCACTCACCCCAAGCGCCTACATGGCGTATAGTGGGACAAACTTTACTTTACTTTACTTTACTTACGGCGAACTGTGGGTGCCAGTCGGAATTGGATCTTGTGTCGGCATACAAAATGTATATTCTGATCTCTCTTTCTCCCCCCACCCACCCACCCAGTCGAAGCAGGTTGTATTTCATTCATTCAAATGATCTACAAGGTGTCCGACCTGAACTCAGATTCGCACTGTCACCATGTTTGAAATTTTTGATGAGTTCGCAGCGTCTCTGCTGAGCGGGTGTTAAGTTCGCACAGCACTTCTGTGCTTGTATTATAGCTCAAGAACGGCTGAACAGATTTTCGTGAAATTTGGTATTTTAATGCCATCGGAGACTTGTCCAGTAACTGTAACACTACATCAACTAAGTATGAGTAGTTCCTAAGCAGGCAAGAAATTCTGCTTGTCCATTGCTCTGTATTGAACTGCAGTAACAGCATCCCTTCTTTGTTTCAGATTATTCATGTGCTCTTGTAGGAGATATTTTGCTTCAGGGGCACCTGTACATCACCAAGAACTACTTTGGATTCTATTCCAACGTCTTTGGATATGTTACAAAGGTGACAAACAAATTCAATGCATGTACAGTACTAGAGCATGCTTGGCAGACAGCTTATATTAAAATTTTCCAGTTCAGCGAATAATTGTTTGCATTTGTTTCCACTTGTATAAGTAGATTCATGATGGACAAGCACATGTTTGGCATCAGCAGAATTGTTGATCACTACCCTCTTTCATAAGTATGAAATTTACATTAAAATATATTTAATATATTTTTATTTACCATCTGTTAAAAATGTTTATGGTTTTATTGTACTTTTATTGTTTTTTTATTTCATGTGCACTGGTAGGAGTTTACCGACGTTTCAGAGGTCCTTGATGCTTCCATCATCAGGGTGATGAGTAAGTCGTATGTATGGAAATGATTAGATTTTTAGGAGACTGACAATCAAGGAGAAGCTTTGGACCTCTCTCTCTTTCCTTCTCTCTGTCTCTCTATGTCCTTCTCCCTCCTGTTGACCAGGCTGTGGCATGCCCCCCCCCTCCTCCTCCTCCTATTGGTTCCCATGCCCTCACCTGATTCATCTTCCTTGATTGTCAGTCTCCTATAACTACCAATTTCCACATGTGCAGATTACTCATTGCCCTGATGATGGAGGCAGCAAGGACCTCTGAAACGTCAGTAAACTTCTACCAGACAACACGGCGCAACAACCCAGAAGACAGAAATCTTCAGTTCTCTTACCCTTGATTAAGTGTATACAGCTAACTACTAGAGATAGAAGAAACTTTCCTTACGTGTGTAGAAAATCTTTTAGCTTCCAAGATGTGCTGTATGGAGTGACTGAGAAAGTTCGTGGCACCACAGGCTTACTGTGGTAACACGTCGTGCTGGCAGCAGAGATGTTGAATGGCGGTTATAACCAAAATGTTAGTTGGTGTTGGTCTTCTGGGTAGTGATGCCACGTGGGCTCGTAGGTAGATACCAGTATTTTTGAGGAACATAGTGTCTTCCTTTTTTAGGGCTGAAGATTGAAGCAGTATGTTCCTTCAAAACGTTGTATCTTCACGCAAGTCCAGAAGACAACTTCCACAATTTTGCCTCCATGAAAATCTTAAATCTCAATATTGTGAAAATGTTTGTTTGTTCATTGCAGTTACTTATCCCAACAGTTTCTGTACTTAAGATAAGTAAAGAAAAGACAGCACGCATTATTCCAAATGCAGTTGGTGTGGCGACGGAGGAAGACAAACACGTGTTCTGTTCACTGCTGTCACGCGACTCTACATACAGGCTCATGGTGCAGGTGTGGAAGACAGCAGTGAACCCTGGACCACAAGATACACTGTCCAGCACCAAGGTACTGTAGTACACAGAGTATGGCAGCATTCAGAGTGGAAAAAGCAAGTAATGCTACGTGTTTTGTGGCTGAATCTGACTTTTTAATATCACAAAAACTGAAAGTACACACGTCTCTTCATGGAGTCTAATTTAAATGTGAAATGAACTTCACATCACAATTTAAATTGTGTGTACAATGCTACATTTTACAGACTTAATGTTTGGTAAAAAGTAAAGTAAAAAAGTAAAGTTGTCCCACTATGCGCCATGTAGGCGCTTGTGGGGAGAGAAGGTATAACTCTTACTCATTCTTGACCTTGGCACTAGAGGGGGGTGAGTGGTCAGGATCACGCCCTGGCCGCGCTCTACCTCCGGGAAAGGACCCTGGTACCCACTGGATAGGAGGCTGGGTGGGCCCCAGAGCCAGTCTGGACGTAGAGGCTAGAGTAAAAATCCTCTGCCCCCGTCGGGGATCGAACCCCGGTCGTCCAGTCCGTAGCAGTTACTATACTGACAGAACTATGCCGGCTTGGTGGGAGGATCATTTTGAAAGCTTGAGGTGCTCCACTGTTTGTTTCCCCAATACAGGAGTGTTGTATGTGAAACAGTGTAAGCGTTGGAACTTGTACTGTACTTACAACAGCCGTCTGTTGTTATAAAAGTTTCATAATGGGGGAGAATGTTGTCTTGTGCCACACAGTTTGATAGATACAAATGACATTCCTACTTTGAATTACAATTTCTTCTGCAGAAAATAGGATTAAATGTGTAGAGGCTAATAAATGCTGTTCACATGACAGTTCCTCATTATAAATGTAATATACAGGGTGGGTGGGAAGTAAGTAGGCATTGAGAAATGGTTATAACCTGTATATTTCCAATGCAAAGATAATGAAAATAATTTTTACATGTACCTTTTTAAAATTAAATTATTTGGTTATTCCGTGATTTGACGGAATAACCAAATAATTTAATTTTAATTTAATAAGTCACAATATGACGCAACTACACTATCTTATGTACCTTTTTTAAATTGGAAAGCCTAATTACTTCCCACCCACTCTGTATATTAAGTTCTGTAGTGAAGTCTAGGCTGTTTCCTTAAGATTGCATAAAGTAATGTGACGTACGTAGGTTTAGTGATTTGTGCTGTCAGCATTTTGGTACTTTCAATGTAGAAATGAGTTTTATACAAAATTTGGAGATATGTAAGATCTACCATAGATCTAGTAAGCATACAATATTTGGTTTCAGTGATCATTATCATCACAGTTGGGCTATATTTGTGGGCAGGGATTAGCGATTCAGTCCTTCCTCCACCTTAAAAGGAGAATAAATTTTTTTCCATCCATTTTGTCCAAGTTTGCGGTATGGTAAATGCCACTTAAACTTCCACATGAGGCTGCTAGCCAGCTATTCAACCCATGGTTAGCAGTTTGCTTCTGTGCCACATAAAGCTGAGCTGAAGATGTAATGCAAGCACAAAAAGTATTCAGTAGAAACTTCTAATTATCTGTGTTGACTTTTTAGTTATTTTTCTTGTCCTGAAAGTATAAATTGTATTCAGTTTTGAACTGTATAGTCCGCGAGCCACGAGAGTAGACCTGACATCTTTGAGGGAGGTGGGGTAAACTTCTGTGCTACTAGCGGACCAAAAAACACCCGCAGCTTATACAGACCGTACGTCGTGAGCTAATGTACTGACTGACTGATTGCACAATGTTCTTAGGTAAGGAATACATCACCAGCGCATGCGCAGATCACAATTTCCCCCTGCCACACAAGCAACGACTGACAAGACCACGTCCACTCTCGTGGCTCGCGGACAGTAGTTTTGTTGTGCAGTGTGCATAATCTGCACTTGTCTTATGTTCACTTTCTGTCAACATAAGCATAAACATTAGCAGTTATGGCATAGAATGCTGAAAGCTGAAGGACATACAGCACATGTCAATTAATTAATACAAATATGAAATTTTTCTTCTTCCTTTATAAGAATTGGGTGCTTTGAGCTTAGTCTGCTGATTGACTAAATTCATTAATCTTTAAAGGACCAGCATGTGTTTTAAGGTGTGGCACTGGTAACCCTAGCTGGCTTACCATAGACTTTAAGACATGGCACACTGCTACATGTCACATGGCTTTGTGATTATCGTATTGGCTTGTGATCCATGAAAACAATGTCAGTGTACTCTAGAAGGGAGACTGTGAACCTTTAATTATTGTGGGTTTCTATGAAAGATACATTGTTTTATTGAGAAACATGTGCAGCATAGCATAACTGTGGAATTTAAATTGGCCCAGCAGGGGATACGGGGATTTAAAATCTTATAACCGTTTTCAGCCGAATTGGCGGCTGAAGCGTGCACCAATCACATGGTGGGAAATAGTGGAGGTAGGTGGAGGGGCGAGATAGTGAGGAAACAACATAGAGTGGTGCCAGACGTAGCATCATGGAACATTGAATTCCACAACACTACGCAAAGAACATGTAAGAATTGGCAAAAACGCAGTGCGGCTGCCGATGCTTCTTCCACGGGGTTTCGTAACAGACTGAGGTCTCCCTGCTTACCAACAGAGCTTCTTTGCGCTGATTGGTCACTCACAAAGAGTAGAACTCGACCCAGCCGCCAATTCCAGTGAAAAATACAATAGTATTGAAACGTTAAATTGGGCGAGTGTCTTTTCTTTTGCCCTGTTGTATTTGTCGTTTATTGTTATTTATTCTCCTCAGATGTTGAAAAGTGAGGTGGATTCTGCAAGTGGATACATGCATCCTAATGATGATGATGATGACTCTTCTTCTGTGTCTGGTAGTGAGCATTCCTGTCCACCAACACCTGCTGAGAGTCACACAGATGTCAGCCACTCTGAAAGCAAGTTTCTTACCACAAGTGCTAAGTTTTGCTGTTAAGTCAGTGTTTCTAGAGCAGTAATAGAGTTTTAAATCACTCTTGATTGTACTTGGGTGTGTCTAGTTTCTAAACTATACAAAGTAATTTCCTGAGTAGTTTATTCGTGTCTCAATTTTATCATGAACTTCATCCCTGTTTGCTGCTGCTGTTCCCAGATAGTAAATTTTTTTTTGAAATGTTTAAAGTTTATTACGTATTTTATGATGGTTGCAGATTTTAGTTTCATGCATGAGATATTTAATTGTATGTGTACTTTCCTTGAGACCAGTGTCTTTGCTGGCCTATAATTGAGTTTCTGCATGGATGTCCCACAATAAATTGTCATCAGCGTACGCAAGTACATGATTTAGTCAATTCGCTTCATATGTGACTATCCCATTAGAACATTCTGAAGACAGTTAAAAAGGGTAAAGACAATGATTGATTTCTTTTCAGCCCTTTTTGCATCTCAGGCATGCATATTTCAGTTAACTTAGAATGTGCAACGTCAACAGTTGAGGTTTTTCAATGCATTTGTGTCCTGAGCCAATCAGCTTCAGTCTCCTTCTTTTTAAATGAAGAAAACTGATGGCATTAGCTGTAACTTTACAGCTTTAACACTATCTAGTTTGTGTTTCAGAAAGGGGCTCTAAAGTTATTTCCAGTTCCTGATACGATCTCTAATTAGATGTTCCCTTACATTTGGGGAGTCCACAGTGGCAGCGCGGTCTGAGGCGTGGGTCTTATGGCGTTTTGTCGCTGGGACCGTGGGTTCGAATCCCACTCAAGCCATGGATGATTGTCCGAGTTTTTCTGTGTTGTGCTGTCCTGTGTACAGGTAGAGGCCTTGCGATGGGCTGATCCCTCGTCCAAGGAGTCCTGCCGATTGTCTATAGATCAAAGCCAACGAAAAGTTGGGACCCGCAGTGCTCAGGCACTTGAAGAATGGGTCGTCCCAGTATCCCTTACATTTAAACACCACCACTTCTATGTCCTTATGTTTCATAACTGATCGTGTTGCTTACACTGTGTCAACAGGCTGTCCATCTAAACTACCAAATGGTAATGTTGGAGTGTCAGAGAAATCTACGCGGTTTACAAGAGGCGGCACGATCTTCTCCTTGTTGCCACGACCAACTTTAATATTAATTATATCTACGGGTTTGCTTGTGCTGCTGTTCCTATCTGCAGCGTTCCTGTTATACCGGATTGGGCGGATACACACACAGTTTTCTGAAAGTCCTATCATTACAGGCAGGTCAGTAAGAGGCTTCATGTTTCTCGAGGAAAAAAGGGTGGTTTGTAGCTGTCGTTAGTAGAACGCTCGATCTTTCATAATTTTCTCGATGTGATAAAGGTTATTTTTTCACACTGGCAATTGAAACTTGGTAAGAATGATAGTTTTTCGAAGACGTCTGTGGACAATACGGGGACATTTTCTTTCTCTTTAATTAGATGTGTTGTAAAATTGTGTAGAATGTAGAATAATTTCATTTCCATTCATATTTCAGTCTGCCAATTATAAACTGAAATTGATTAGTGGTATGCAGAAATATTCCTTCTGCAAGAAACATCGAGGATTGAAGTACCAAAATCTTCCAAAAGGGATTTTAGCATAATTACTGGGATCTACCAAATACTAATATCACTGTAATAAACATGATTGTTATGTTGAACTATTCCCAAAATAACAGTCGTACTTATGACGCACCATTGTGAAAACATTTGGACTTGGCTCCAACCATTGTCACTACTTCACCTTTATTGGGGGGGGAGATACTATCATGAATGTTTACCATATTTAGTTATTTTTTATTGGGCAAGCAGTATATTTATGCGGTATGATGCTTGCTACCGTGGTAGTCGGACTAGCAGTTTTAGTTAGACGCCGTCAATGGAGACAGTACCAGGGATGTAACACTAATGCCTGACTCTGAGAAGTCGGTAGAAATGGTTGGACTTCAAAAGACAAATTGACCGAAATTTAGGTTTTTGTGTCTTCCTAGTGATGAAGTGTACCAGGAGGTCTTGAAGTGGCAGACTCACCTTCATTCAAAGTCGGCAAATGAAGTCCAAGAGTTTCTCAATGCCAACTTGGACCAATTAGCAAAGGTAAGGGAAGTAACGTAATTAATTCAGTATATATTTTTATTATTTCAGTCTATACACAAACTTAGTTTTTAAAATGTTGTTGTTAAAATTAAAATTTAGCGCTTTTCATCGTTATTTCGATGTTACATTTCAGCGCATTATTATTTTTACGACATGTTTCGATGCTATTGCATCATCCTCAGGTTTTTTATTATTATTTTCATCTTTAAAACTAATACATATTTATTAATGCAACCTTTTATTGATTTATTTGTTTTGTAGATTTCTTCCTTTTGGTTTTCGTAGTATTTTGCATATTTTGGTCAGTTGTTCATTATTCTGTGAAACAATTAATTAACATTTGAATTATTAATTATTAATAATTATTAATATGAGGATGATGCAATAGCATCGAAACATGTCGTAAAAATAATAATGCGCTGAAATGTAATATCGAAATAACGATGAAAAGCGCTAAATTTTAATTTTAACAACAACATTTTAAAAACTAAGTTTGTGTATAGACTGAAATAATAAAAATATATACTGAATTTTAACACAAACATGACGCATCTAAACTATAAAAACTATAAACATAATTAATGTTGTGGAATATTTCAAATTACGTTTTTGTTCCTCCTTTTTGAATATGTTGATTTATTTATATTATAAAAATGTATTAACTCTGGAACATAGATCGATTCGTGCAGTAATAATTTAGACTTTTCTGGTTTTACTAGTTTTTAAGAATTTCGTGTTCAGACAGCCTTTCCTCATTTAAATAAGAAGATTTATGAGGCTTATGAACTTGTTTTGCTAAGGCGCGTTAACATGGCTGCTGTTTGTGTACAGAAATTACGTTTTCAGAAATTCCCTTATCTGTGAGGTAATTATCTGATTTGGGGATTAACTGTAGTGATATTATTATCGCTTTAGGAGTTAGAACAGTCATGAATGCCTCGGACTTGGACTGTTGCCAAATTCTCTTAAAAACTTTTTAAAATGTGTTTTTCGTGGTATGTGGATCTTTGTCGTCATTGCATTTTTGCAACTACTTAACAGCCACCTTATGGAACAAAGTGCACAAGTGGCATTTCATTGAGGCGTTTGAGACTTTTCAATGAAACTGCGTTCTAACGCCTGTTCCATAAAGTGTCTGAAAAATCTCACAAAAAGTTACTGTCGTCCGCAGAAGATTGTGGTTGAGGGCGATGACTTCGGTGTTCTGAAAAAGCTTATTCCATTATATGTCATGAAACAACAAACGAGCAATCATTACAATCTGTTTTTCAAAATAGTGATATTTTATCGTTTTTATCAGTGATCATAGGAAACAAGATGTGAAGATGTAAAGTTGGTCAGAACATCGTTTAGTGACAGACTCAATATAATACTGAACATCAGGCTTACATAACAGTAGATCTAAGTAACTGCTGACTATTAGGAAAGACCATATGCCATATAGTTGGTTAGTTAATTAGTTAGTCAGTAGTTTGTTAGTTAACTAGCTAAGAAAACTCTGTTGGATCAGAATATTAAGTCACTAATCAATTTTCCAATTTCTCTTATAAGGTACGACAGTCTTTAGAGGCTCTATCTTTACTCATCGTAACGGACGACAGCAATAAAAGTAAATCACCTGCAGCATCTCACAAGTCAGCTCAACTATCCAATTTGCATCAGCAGCAGGCGCCAGCACCTCTGCCTCAAGATAAGCACAGTTAGCATTATGATGGTTTGTCAACATGCTTTAGCAGCGCTCGGCTGTGGTAGTACTGCAGATCTCCGTGCTGTAGGTCCTGGGAGAAAAATTATTTGTAATGTATTTAAACATTTCTCATATTGTCTTCTCTGAAATGAGAGTTCGGTAACCGGTTGGATAATTCTTAATTCACTTACTGTATACAGATATTTGCAGAATTGACTTTGTATGGACAGATCTAGGTTCTGTTCCAATCCACACTTTAACACAGGTGAAATTCTGGTGCCACACTAAAGACTAACGGCTCTCAGTGGAGTTGTTTGAAGTACTGCAGCGTTAGACCTATAGCATAATGCTGTGAGGTTGTCATCACTTTGCCTGTAGCATAGTGCAGATGACACGCAATCTCCTTCGCTGCTACAGTCAATCCAACTGGCAGACTGGACGTAGAAGAAAAAGACACTTTACCAAAGAACAGGAACTGGAGCAGATTTTATTGTAGCCAAAAAATTATTACCACAGTATTTAGATATTTACATTGTTGGTCTTCATTTGGACCATCTATTCCTTGTGCCATTTCTAGTTGTATAGTTCACGTGTCCGTGCCTGGATTCAGGACTCCGAAGGTGCAGTGAAAGCAAATAAGACATAATAAGTACAACACTGTAACTTTTGCACCAGATGACATGCAGAAAACTGTACAGGTAATTGTGTGCACCCACATTAACTGGACGCTTCTGTACGTGGCTCACCGGATCAAATAGTGCAAACAGTTGTAGTGAAATGTTCCTTCCATGTTATAATTTAAGGTTATGAATTCTTTTTAATATCTGTTTACTCCGATAATGAATTGGAATTTATTAATTCCTATGTCACGTATGAAAGTATGATACTGTTACATAATTTACATTATCCTAATGTCGTCAAAGAAATGACTGACGAAATGGTCATTAAATGACACTTGTGTGATGAAGCTACGTTAAGAAGTTTTTTAATGTGACGTGGTGATTCTGTTTCTTACTTAATGTGGATGACGGTTTGAAGCAAACATGAATTTGTTAAGTAAGTTAAGGCGCAGTAAAACTGAATAACAAAATATTCCATGGATGATTATGAACATTTTGTATATGCTTCAAGTGAAAGCAAAAAATAATTGATCTGCCACAAATATCACTTATCAGTTCAAGTCTTGTCATAATGAACTGGAAATACTGGCTTCTGCCATAATATGAATTAAACATTCTTGCACGTTTTTTTGTTGTTGTGGTGGACCAGGTTAAGACTGTCTCAAGTTTAATTTATTTATATTGTTAGGAGCTCAGACTGTACAGCACTGAATGACAGGATGATAAATGACTAATGAATTTGGAAGGATGCAGTCATGAGTAATTTAAGTTATTGTCATGGAATTTGCCTAGAGGAACTGAGCAAAACCATAAGGAACCTTAAGACAGCTAGTCTTCATGCCCAAACTTGAACCCAGGATCTTCTGAATATGAATAAGTGCTAACCACTCGGTTGAGATATTTGGTTATCTGAAATTTTAAATATGTGCTCAGACAACATACGCTGATTCCTGTCTTGTTGAATTATAAGTGAATACACTGATGTATTTCAAAGTAATTAGAAGAAACCATGTTTAAAACGAATAAGAAGATTTATTACATAGATGCGAAACGTTGCCACTAGAATGCGTAATTTCAGTGAAATGTGACATGTGAATCCTGGCGCACAATACGAAGCAAGTTCCTGCTGCAAGGACAGCTCTTCGGAGCTCACTGTAGGCTTCAGCAAAGGAGGTAAGATCATGCTATGATTTGACGATCCCTCGGATCAGCACTCGGCATGGTCCGCATTGACACAGGATTGGCTGACAGTCACGTTTACCAGGTGCGTTGCCAATTGCTCAGCTTGCAAAAGAGTCATTGCCACTAGACACCGCAGTTAGACATACCTTTATGTGGCCTACTCAAACATCTACAAGCTGCAACTTCATTCTTTGACATTCAGAGTTCAAATGTCGAGGTAACAACACATTTTTATGCCAGAGCTGGGGCTTTGTATGTCACAGAGAGGCAAAGCCAGGATCAATAAATTGCAGCACTAGAATAACTGCAGTTATGTATTATGAGCAGTGTGAGGCACTGTTTGTTGTTGCCGAATGGAATCGTTGATCTTTTGTACACTTGGATTCAATTATTTTTCAGGATTGTAGGCTCAGTAACTGTTATAACTTATAAAATCATGCATAAAAAAACCAAAACTGTTCACACTTTAAAGGACACTGTAGTATTTTTCATTGGAATTGGCGGCTGAGTCGAGTTCTGCTCTTTGTGAGTGACCAATCAGTGCAAAGAAGGTCTGTTGGTAAGCAGGGAGACTCAGTCTGTTACGAAACCCTGTGGTAGAAGCATCGGCAGCCGCACTGCGTTTTTGCCAATTCTTACATGTTCTTTGCGTAGTGTTGTGGAATTCAATGTTCCATGATGCTACGTCTGGCACCACTCTATGTTGTTTCCTCACTATCTCGCCCCTCCACCTACCTCCACTATTTCCCACCATGGCACAGTACATGTGATTGGTGCACGCTTCAGCCACCAATTCAGCTGAACACTGTTATAATGAAAAACGCATCTTGACCTCAAGAGGTCATCATCAGTGGCAAAACAAATTAATTCATACAATACAATTCAAAAGACTATGGTTTTCTACAGAGCATGAAAGCTATGTACTTCACAACACTATACTTATGTAACAACTCGCTGGATGTTAATTGCACAGGAGTTGGTGTATTAAATTTAATGATGGATCGTATAGAATAAGATATGATGCGGAATTAGAAGAATTGATTGATCATCAGCACATTGTGAGATATATTAAATCACAACGGTTAAGATGGGCGGGACATGTGGTCAGAATGGGAGAGCATAGACTGCCACATTTGGTATTATTCCAGAAATTGTGGGGAACAAGACCTAAAAGAAGACCAAGGGGAAGGTGGATTGATGCGACAGAGGAAGATATGACAGATGAAAGTGGGCAACTGGAAGAAGGTAGCTCAAGATAGGAAGGGATGGGGACATACTGTTCGGGATGCCAGAGCCCACCAAGGGCTGTAGTGCAAGAGAAGAAGAAGGTTGTGTGTTAAATTGAGGACTTAGCTTTTATGTCGACTGGCGTTTGGCATTGGTGTCCTTTAAAGTGTAAACAGTTTTGTTTCTATGCATGATTTTATATTCCAATACACTGCACGGTATGCAAGGTTTCAATGTTATAACTTAGTTTGATTGTGTGACTGACGTTTGCCAAGAGTCAGTGGGTACTGACTTTAGTACAAATATAGGTCATATGGGAGAAGATGGTGTGGAATGTTGTGGAAGTGAATAATCAAACCTACACAGGTTCAAGGTACTTATTTCTACATTTAAGAAATTTTTCTTGCCAGATGCATTTAAGTACTTAATTGTAGAATCTGTGTTTTCACGTGAACTCGATGACTCTTGTAATTTTAATGACTTTAGCCTGAAATGGACTTGTTTTGTCAGTTGAACCTGTGCCTTGCACCTTGTACATTTTATATTCTTTAACACCAGTGTGATTAGTTTTTGTTTGTTGTTCAGTCTCCATCTCGTAAGTATTTGAATGTTATTAAATGTGTCGCAGAGATGCAAAAAGATATTTTCTCAGTTTATGACAAATACTTTTAAATATTATTATGTTGGTACTGTTACGTCTGCTGTAACTGGCAAAGAAAGCAGTAGGAACTAGAAGTCTGATTAAAACAATAACTATATGATGGCAAACCTGTCAGTACCCAGCATACCACACGAACACCCAGCCAACAGGATTCATGTGAAGGGTACACAAACTCAACTTGTTTCTGCAGTGTTGGACTCCATATTTGGCATTCCTAAAATCTGTATGTTCCCTGGTGATTTTAGGAGAAATTTTCCTATGATTGTCTTGTTTAAAACTGGCAGTTTGCAGTTCTTTGACTCACCATCATGTGTGTGTGTGTGTGTGTGTGTGGCACAACTATTGACTGTCTTCTTACTACTAGTAGAAGGCTGCTTGCTTCTTTGCACTTGTTAGTACTTAGGAAATATTGTACAATTTGCTAGTTTTTATTTAGTACTTATTAGTTTTGCCCTGTGATATGTCTAAAAGGCCAACAATAAGTTCTGAGGATTACATAAATATGAAGAGGAAGCAGTTGTCACTTCGTATATAACAGAAAGTCATGTTATTGATGAAGATCCAGAATCCAGAAAATCCAAAAATCTGAAAAACCTCCAGGCTTTCTGGATAAGGGGTCCAATTCTGTACTTGCAAATATATCACATCCAACAGACAAAACATTTAAGTTCCACATCATCAGACCATTAGTGCGTGATTGTTGACGTGTTTACGAGTTCACATATAAAACTTTGACAACAGTAAAATTTGGTGAGGATTTGATACTTCATAGAACACCATACAAAAGTTTATTTATATAACCACTGGCTTTGTGTTACTGTATGATAAATTGATGATTCCAGTTTTCATGATCTTCAGAGTTTAAAAATATGTAACAATGGATTCTGTAATTGTTTAAGTTCATAAGTTACCAACTGCAGCTAGTAATCTACCGAAGGAAAATTATAATTTTCATGTAATTAAAATTTAATTTTAAAACATACACATGAAAGCAGAACTGAAATACAAATAGGACACATGGTGTGCTGAAAAGTGCATTGAATGATTTGTGTATGTAGCAAAATATACAAATAAAATATTGCCATGTAACTTTCTGAACATGTATCTGTGATAACTGAAAGAAGAAATAAAATACTGTACATTGAACATACATGTTTACTATTTTAAAGTGAATGCTGATTGTAAACTGGCAGCCATGATGACAGTGTTATTGTATATAAAATATGAACATAACTGTGTTCTTATTTGTGTTATGTGTGTCACAATTGAAATTTAGCACCCACCATTCCTGTTTGTTATCACAATCATGCATGAATATTTCTTGTAGAAAAAAAACACTTGAAATATACATTGTTGGAAAATTTTATAAAATGTAGTCACTAAATGATTGTTACTACTATTATATTTAAGATTTTTTAAACGAGGAATATTTCTGATATTTGTATACATTTTTGCAGTATAATTTATTTTTGGCACACGTTTTGTTCGTAGCTCATAGTTTTTCTTTTCAAATGATATCTCATTGTTTTAAACATCTAAAACTAAGAAGATTTCATATTTGATAATGACTGTGCTTTCAGTTTGTTTCATCAATGACATGATTGCTTATGAAATGCACCTTTTTATTCGTTCTACCTTATGCAGTGGGGAAAATTTATTCTACAAATTTCAATTACTGTCTTTTTGTGTTTGTATTTAGAGCATATAACATTCACATTATTTTATTGTAAGAAAAATAAATTATGTTAATGTGAAGTTTAGCAATATTAAAATCAATCTTATGAGACATTTTGTGATTTGTAGTGATGAAGCTGTGAAACAATTGTCATTTTTGTTACCTCATTTGAAATGTGAAGACACGTTAGCAGTCACAAATGGCTTTCTCGTAATCTTGACAATTTCTTACAAAATGCCTGTTTACATGATATTTCTCTAAGTCTTCTTTGGACCAATACAAAAGTTATTCCTTGCTACAGCAAATCAAATTTGAGGCCTGTGGTAGCCATCTCAGTTCTGTTATGGTTTCCAAATGTCTGTAAATAAAAATGCCAAGATGTTAGCTTCTTATAAAGAGTCATGATCTGCTCTTTTTTTCCAGTTGGTGTGATGCCTTTCTGTCAGTCCGAGCAAGACTAAATGTGCGGTTATCCATAATTGTCAGTGCACTTCGAATAACATGTCATGTGTATATACACGCTTTTTACGGTATTTTATTGTGTGCGTGTGCTGTCATTGTGCACTGTAGAGTGAAAACAAAAATCAGGAATGAGATGTGATGGTTATAATGATAGGTAATTATGTAAAATTCTGTTCCCACGAAGAATGCTGCAGATGCAGCCCCTTCAAACTAAAAGATTAACAATATTTATAATTTTTTTGTATAATCTAAATCACATCATTAAATCTTTGTTGTAAACAGTTGAAAGTAATTATTCACAGTTTTAAACTTCTTACTCTTTATTATTATAAACTACATATTTGTTCATGTATTTTGGGTAATGGATATGATTTGGTGAGATTTACTGAAAATACCAATAGAACATAAATTAAATAGAATTTTCACTCACAGGATTCAGGAGCAGTAGTGCATGTTTCTTTAATAAACCTATTTTTGGTACAGTCTATCAATGTAGCAGCCATGTTAGATGTCTCAGTATGAACCAAATAGTGCAAATGAGGGAAGGTTCATTTTATTTATATCTACCATAATTTTTAAGTAAACTATTTTTTTAACTTTCTTTTATTTAAGTCAGACTGTGGTGAATTGTTCAGTGTTGCACACGAGACTTGTCCATATGGAAGCAATCCATTTATGACACTAGACACTGTGAAGCAAGAATTGTCATTCAGTTCCATTTTACTTGAAACTCGTGTACATATTCCAGAAAAATTATTTTTGCTCAGAATTAACAACTTGCAACCTTGCTTTTCTTGAGGTCGTTACAAATGATTTGTTGTTGTATTATTTGGAATTGTATTGTTGCAATAAAAGGTTCACTGGCAGTATTCCCAGAGCTTTATGCTATATTTTATGCAGGCTGATGCTGAACGTTTGCAATCATAAATTTCTTACAGTGACCCCTATTTACTTGAAATTATGTAACATAAACCACATTTATTTGGTGCATTTTGTAGTAAATTTAATTAAATCAGAAAAATTATCCTTAAAAAATTGATATTGCTGTAGAAAGAAACCAACCAGAAATAATATGTCATATATGATGGAAACTGCAGATCTGTAAATCACAACATTAAAAGGAAGTTGGTATATAATCATTCATTACCCATATCCATTGAAGGCACTGAGAATTAATGTTGAACTGTTGTAGAATGCATGAAGGCTGCAAATGGTCTGGAAGAATTAAATTTAAATTTAGTATGTGTTCATTACTTCTGTGAGGTAGTCATAAGAATCAGTCACTAATATGTTTGGATATGCAGAACCCACTCGGAACATGATTTCGTTGCTATCGCAGATATGATTTGCTTTTATGTTTCTTAGAACCTTGTGAAATAAGAGGCCTTAGGTAAACATGAACCATCAATCTTCGGGTATGTGGTTTTTGCATTTTCATTCACATTTTGATAAAAATTATAATTAAATTATTTTTAAGGGAAAATATTCAAAGCTGCCAATTTCTATCAGAGTTGGAATTCTCAGTCATATTTGTGTATATGCATGGCTTGTAGTATTTGCATTCACACTGTTGGCTGTCTGTTTAAGGCCTACATGGTGTAAACAGCATGGTAAAAATATTGCGTTATTATTTATTTACATTATCTAAAGTCTGTTACAGTAGGTTGTAATGATGGTATTAAAATCTGCCATATTATTAATATTTCTGCTTATTACTGTTTGTGTTATTTCTTTTATAAAATGTTGGTAAACATTTCAGTTGTTGTTCATAGAATAATGGTCCACTAAGAATTGCTGTGCAGCTGTGGGTTTCTAATATTTGTGGTTACAGCGCTTCTGCACATGACTGTAAATACTGTTGTGGTATATGTCTTATTTATCATTTGTGGTAATATTTTTAACATTCAAGTTTTAAGTTGGATACTTAGAAGAATTAATAAGGAGTTCAAATTTCAAGGTTGTCATTAAATTATTTTTAAAAAATTGACACGATGTTTACACTAGCAGTTCCAAAATGTGACCAGAAATTAGGGGAAAAATAAATAAATAAAGGCATTGTTAATTTCAACTAGAAGAATAGCATTTATTTATGGTCATATCTGATTTATAAATGAAAAATTTATGAACTGCTCTTGTCAACTTTCCCTAATATTTCTGTTTCAGGCATCCAGTTATGGCATTCACAGTGACATTTTAGCACAGGTTGGTGCTGCACCTGGTCTGTCTTCCCTCCATTTTTGTTTCTTCATAGCAGTGTGCAGTGTGCTTATATTTCAGCTTTTATGAAATGTGACTCAAGAAGTTGTTTTTGGCTTGACAATTTTTATATTATCCACAATAAAGGTAAGGGAAATTAGCAAAGATTAAGATTCATGATTTCTACATGGTTCCATGCCTTTATTGCCGTATTTGTTATGCTTGTTTACTGAGCAGGTTAGGTTTTGAAACCAGTAGGGTTTGGAAAGGTTATGTATTGGTGTTACTTGGGCCGTGATGTAAGATACAGGTACAAATATGAGTTAGGTTAAAGAACAATTTTTATCTTGTATCTTATTGTAAATTGCTCCAGTTTCTAGATGCATGGAATAAAGAGGGTCATAAACAAAAAGTTGAGGTTAATCTTACTGCAGCTGTTTGGAACGAAGAGTTGTTAGGGGATGGGGAAAGCCACAAGTGGGAATGAAAAGTGTGCAAACACTGATAAATGGTTCTCTGGAGAAAAAGAATAAGTTTATTGATTATTTAACCATATGCACTGTGGTATCTCAAGGACATATGGGTTTTATAAAGGAAACATCAAAAGAATTGTCCCAAATCATGGGACGTGAATGGGCTTGTGGGTGAACAATGGTTCACTAAAAGTTGTCTCCCTGCAAAATCCTAAAGCAAGTAGTATTACTAGGATTACAGTTTTCATGATTTGTCAGATTTAAGTTCGTGCTAATGAATTTAGGTCTATACATTAGCACGAGGATGAAGAGTAAGAGACCATGGCAGATGATTTGCTGGTGAATGACATTCCTTTACAGTGAGGATAACGTGTTTTATGCTACGTTTACACGGCGAGAGTTGAGAGCGGCAGTCGGTCTCAAGTCAGGTGTATGGAGAGAGGTATCGGAGGGTGTTTAGACGTTGAGAGAATGTTGTTACTGTCGGCCTGAGAGGTTCTCTCAATTGAGCGAAATACGTCTCTGATTATCGCGCTTCTCTCACGACCGTTTACACGGCGAGGCACGGAGAGTGGCTATAATGAGACATTATGGAACTACGTGGAGATGGCTCAGTTTGTAATGTTGAAACCTCACCTGAAAATTAGTTCGTGTACAGATCTTATCTTTTTTTGATTGCACAAAAAATTTAAGCTGCAGACACGCGGTTCAAGGGTACGGGAAACTGCCAAAATTTCGAATTTGCAGTTAAACTTCGCGCCACCTCTCGGATTCTTGATGAATGTGGCGCGCACATGAAAAATTGAGTAAGACTGACCTTTGCCAGACTTTCGCATTTGTTTCCAGCTACGCTACAGCTTAGGGCAGTGCTTCCCAAACCTGGGTAAATTACCCCAAAATGGGTAAAAGTAGTTTTTCTTTGGGTAACGACACGCCCATTTCTGTGTGGCTTGACTGAAATACCCGATAGTGTTAACGGTTTTGCGTCCCGCGCCGTAGCCGCGCGGTCTGAGGCGTCATGCTTCGGACCGGTGATACGGAATGCGCGCTGGTTCGAGTCTCGGTGAAAGAAATTTTCTCATGAGATCTTCGACCAGTGTATGGGACCGGTGCCAATCCAGCATCGTGAGGAAATTGGGGAGCTACAATGGGTAGCGTAATCCGGTCATGAAAGCTAGCAATGGCTGGGTGTTCGTCGTGCTGACCACACGTCACCCTGTATCTGGTTGGATGATCGTTCACCTCTGCTTAAGCATGTGAACGTGAGGCCAGCAGTCAAGCTAGTCGGCTTTGGCTCTCAGAGGGCTCTTATGCCACGAATTTAATTTAATTGTGTTAATGGTTTTGCAGAGCAAATGACGGAGCTTAGGTCAAGCAGTCACTGCAAAATAAAGGACCATTTGGAGTCTTTCTGCTTAACAATTCATGATGAATATCCTGTGGTAGCTGGGGAGGCCGTGATGCAATTATTGCAGTTTCCGAGCATGTACATGTGTGAAGTAGGATTTTCCACTCTTGCCTTCATAAAGAGTAAAAAATGAAACTGTTTGCGGAACCCCGAATAGGATGTGAGGTGTGCTCTGTCTCCAATTGCTCCAAAATTTGCGGAACTAGTAAATAAGATGGAGCAGTGCCATTGTACTCATTAGCTGGGACCTGGGTGATGAAATATTCATGGCGAATAATTACTAATTTTTTTGTGGCTGCTAAAATGTTTAGAGATGTTTAAAATAAAGACATTGCATCAAAAATATTGTTTGCTTCCTAATTTTTACCGATCTATCTTCACTTGTCATATATGTTTTCTGTGCAGCTAGTGTTTTACCTACATTTGGTAAAAAGGACTTTCTGATAAGCGGTTTTGGATAATGAAGGAAAAAGTTTGGGACGCAGTGGCTTAGGGCCTCACGGTATGAGGTGCCCCAAAGAAATTCGCTAGCTGTGTAGGTGTGAATTTGCTTTTTAGCCAACAGCAAGACCAAGAATGTTTTAACATTTAAATTAATCTGTTGTGAAAACACAGTTCGCCTTAAGGTACTTTTAGACGACAAGATTTTTGTCAACTTGTCTATGTAGACATCTGACATCTCCATAACATTTTGTCAGAAGTCTAAATAGATAAATCTTATCGCAGGACCCGAGTTCCGTGAACAGCTAGTTGTGTTGACGAAGACTTGTTATGGTTTGTATAAAGCGTAAATATTTGAAACGTGAATTAAAAGAGGAACAAGGAGCATGTATCACATTACGTACTTAATGATTTTGGATTAGAAGGACGGTCACTTGAATTCAATTATTATTTAGAATTGCCTTATGAAAATTTTTAACTTTCGCCTCGGTCGAGTAATAACTACTAAAAAGTTAGACATATACTTTTTGGGGCCATTTAATCTTGACATATAAAAACGAATTAAAGGTTTATGTATATTTCTTAAGTCTGCAAGCATGCCCTATTCTGTGCAGACAGAAGTGTGCTTGTGTTGCAGATACCTGTGGTCGAGATCAATATAAGAAGCACTGCTTGATTCATAGTATAAAATATATAGTCCTTATTTACAAAACCCGTACTCCAATGCACTGGGGAATATAGAGCCACAGCTAGGCGCTCCGCCGTTACACGCGTGCGCGGTGGCGCGAATTTGAACTGAAAATTCCTAATTTGGGCAATTTTTCCTCACAGTTATACCGCGCATCGGTACCTAAACTTCCGTGTGCAGGCATTACTAGATGGGCTCTGTAAGTGAACGAAATTTCCGGCGATAATTTCGACAAGACAAACCGGACCTTTCTCTTTTTACTCTCCTGCTTGATACCGCGACTCACGTTTTGAAGCCAGTGCGATGTATTAATTATCTTGCAGTTGGTAACAGCCTTTACTGTTGAAAATAAAGAGTGAAATTGAAAGGAAAGAGAAACATGGCAACAGAAAGACTAGAAGACATGAAATAAAGAATAGAGAAAGAACTATTGGAAATAAGTAAAGCAAAAGTTTGACTTTGTACTGTAAACGTTTGCGTTCTTCTTTCGTTAACGTCTGACTTTGGGTTAACTGTTTTTAACTAAAATGTAACTCCATATTGTTGCTATAATGTTGTGTCTCGGCTGTTGTTCAATCGTAAAAGGAAACTGGGTTGTGTCCCTTCAGCGGCATCGAAGACTGACATCTAACTGGAAGGAGCGCTGGCAAATGATAAAATGGGAGAAGAGTTCGTTTGGTTACGTAAATCACGTCACAGCTAACGGCGTTATTTGGATTTGGATTTGTTGATACTGAAGTTCAATGTAATTATTACGAAACACACAATCACTGCATCACGCGTTTGCAAAAAATATGTGTCAGCTTTCTTGTGTGATATTGTGATACAGTTTCTGCTTCACCCTTGAGACTTTCAGTACAAGTTTTTGGGAGTTTATTGACATTGAATCGCGGTTTTCTGATTTTACATAAATTCGGCAAAATTATAAATATTGTGTGCGGAGTGTAGCAGCGAACCGTTCCCGTAGAATCTTCCTCGGAAACAATTCAAGTTACAAAGACCAAAACGTAGAAGTTTCTCCTTCTCTTGCCCAAACGTGAATTATGTAAGATTTTGTCGTCACGTGTTTCCGGATTGGTGGACTAATTTATATTCAAGTCAAAATTATCTTCTCATGATTGGTCATTTTTGACTCCTGAGGTCAAACTAAGAACCGAGGTTGAATCGTGATGCTGTGTCACATAAGCTAGTTTTCGCATTCGTTCAATTAATGCTGGTCCGACTTCCTTGGGTTAAAAACCTGCCATGGCCTATCAAAGTATCAAGTATCAGGAAGTTTTGAACTCCTCGAGTGCATAGGTTCTCGGATGACCAGACAAGCGATACAAGTCCTGCCCTCCAGCGGTCGAAATCCGAGACTGTCTTCCTGCGGCTCTGGCAGACAGTTTCTTTGATGCGTATATTTTGTTTCTAAATTTAGGACCGAAACAGTAAAATCCCAGGGTTCCGTGTCTGAGTTCGACCTAGTGCCTGACGATTACAGCTTACGTCTCATTGTCACGGCCCGACAATAATGAATGTATGTATGACTTGAACTGGTTAACAGAATATTTGGTATCCGCCTCACAAATTTCACTTTAAGAAACGATTTGATTTTATAATTTACTTTTCTTCCTACTTTTTCTTGTCCTTGTCCGCGTATGTGGCAGGCTGTGTCGCTGTGTCACATTGATTTCACATTGCGTCTGTGTGGTGGCGAGAACGTCGCGACGCGACGAAATTGGTCCAGTAGTCTGTTCTGTGCGCTCGAAGTCAGACGTAGGGATCGTAGCTCCGGTGAGTACGCTTCGTCGATACTTGATTGCAGTCATTTGCTTACTTCCATTTGATCATGTCACATGGAATTCTTTTCTGGGGAAACTCAACAGACAGCAAAAGTTATTTTACATTAAAAACAAAATTATTATAGAATACTGGCAGCAACTAAAAGGAGATCTTCATGCAGGGAATTGTTTAAGAAATTTAACATTTTTTCATTAGCCACAAAATTCTTGCTCTCATTATTATCATTTGCAGTGGACAACATAGAAAATTTTCAGACAAACTCAGATATCCGCAATGTAAGTACAGGATGCAGACATAACCTTAATGTGCCAAACACTAACCTCAGTAAATATCAAGGAGTTTATTGTATTGGAATTAAACTATTCTGTAATCTTCCCCTATCTGCTATCTCCTAATAGTTGGGGGCAGATAGTTGATGTATGGGAGAAAAAGCAGAGGCCCATGTTGTTGAACTTTCGTTTTATAATAGCTCAATTTCAATAAATACTTGAATCTGGTGATTTTATTCCTACTTGTTGCCTTCTGAAGGTGTGATTTGAACCACTTACCATCTATGTTTTGAATTCCATAAAAATATAGTTTTGACAGTGGTAATTCATGATGTGCACAATCAAATGTTTTAACAAGTTAGAGTTGGAGTTTATTTACATTCTGTAGGTCCTTCATTGGGCTAAACCAAAGGATGTAGAACATGTCATAATACAAGTACAGAACTTATTTCACAAATTACGTTACTTAATGGTTTTCAATAAACTTACAAAACCTCATTTCGCATATACATGTACATATTGCTTAAGGATTTTCAATAGAGGTAAAATAATCTGCAGAGTAGAGGTAATCTTTTAATGCAGGCTTAAATTCTTTTATATAAGATTTAAACTTTTAATTGAATAACTTGATACCTGTATAATATACTCAATTTTTATATTTAGTGAGGTTAGTATTTGGTATATGAGATAAATTATTATATTTTTACAGCTTATATCTTAATTGCATCATGCTTGTGTTTCAATACAATACTTTTATTTTCCGTCGTTTACACAAGCTTATTGTTAAAATCATATAAAATTTCACATAAAATTGTTACATTTTAAAATTGACGACATGTTTCGATATACAATCTTATCATCGTCAGGTCTATCAAAATTAAAATTAAAATCTGGTGTATCTGTTGCTCTGCTTATATTGCTTTTGTTTTTACTCGTTTTTATTACATCTCCAGGCTTCTTCGATTTTATTTTTGGAGACGCGCCTGGGTGCCTATATCTGCAAAATCAATTTTAATTTTCATATCGTGATAAGGCTACCGAAATAGGAAATGGAATAATATTACTCTAATTTATAATATTTTAAGGAATTATTCAAATATATCGTATTACAAACAAAATAAATGTAATCACAAAATATAAAGTATTATAACATACCGGGTTGTGTATGAGGTGCGTGTCCGTTGTTATTGAATGGCAGACAGTAACTGAGTTGTGAGTATCGTGTATGGCTATATATATTGGGTGAAAGTTGTTTAGGGGGTTGGGTCAATGGACTGTAGAATGTTAAATATCGGATTGTTCGTGTAAATGTTGCTGTCGTTTAATGCAAGGTTCTGTTTATGTGTTCTTTGTATATGATATTTCTCTATGGTGTCTCTATGTCGTTTATTTTGTATTATTTTTATAATGTCCAATGTATGTTCTATTTTGTTGTATGAATGTCCTGTGTTTAATATATGCTTTGCATATGCTGAATGGTCTTTATTATGTTTTATTGCTGTAATATGTTCTTTATATCTTTGATTAAAGGTGCGTCCAGTTTGGCCTATATAGGTTAACGGGCAATCATTGCATTTCAACCTATATATGCCTGGTTTTTCGTATTGATTTGTTGTATCTATTTGTGGTTTTTGTTTCAAGATGTTTTTTATAGTGTTTTTTGTTCTAAATGCTATTTTTATGTTATTTGTTTTAAATGTTTTTGTTATATATTTGGTTTCTTTTCCTATATATGTGAATGTGGCCCATTTGTTTTGTTTATTTTCGTTTCCGTCTTCATTTATGTTGTTTATATTGTTTATTTTATTTTTGGGTTTTACTTCATGATTATTATATCCGTTTTCTATTAGAATTTGTTTTATTGTGTTACATTCAATTTGTTTGTTTACTGTGGTTATGGGATATGTATTTTTCCTGTTTATTAAGTAGTTAATAGCCATCTGTTTATGTTCATTCGGATGGCATGAAGAGGCATGTATTATGGTGCTTGTATTTGTGGGCTTTCTGTATATTTTGAATTCGAAGTTATTTTCGTTTCGTATTATAGTTAGATCTAAATAATTTAATTTGTTATTTTGTTCTTTTTCTAAAGTGAATTGTATATTTTGATTTATGTTGTTAAATTCATTTAAAACATTTTTTATGTCTGTATTTTTTCCATCAAAAATCATGAGTATATCGTCAACATATCTACTATAGTATTTAATTTGATATTTATTTAATATATTTACTATGTAATCATGTTCGAGATATTGTAAGAATATTTCAGATAATATGCTCGAGGTGGGAGCTCCCATAGGTAATCCTGTTTCTTGTTTCCAATATTCATTGTTGAATTGGAAATAATTTTGGTTAATAATAATGTTAGTTATATTTGTAATTTCATTTAAATTTCGTCTGGTTTAGTAACCGTAAGATTTATATTTTAAAATAGGTTAGGAATTGCTTTAGCTAAGAACATCATTGCACCTTCAGTTTTTGAGGTTATAGTATCACTGACGGTCTTTCTTTGTACAGTAGTTAAAAAGTGGGTATTTAAAGAGTTAGCTGTATGTTTAGGATCAGTCACTGTATTATCACTTATCTTTATCATTTAATATTATCAGACTCTGCTTTTAGTTTATTGAAATTCGAGCATTTAGCTTTTCTAATGACTCAAGTTAAGATTTTGTGGTTATCTATAGCGTCTTTTCAGTAGTTGGTTCTTACTGGTTCTGCTAATTAGGTAAATACTCGTGTATGATTGCATGATGTTTTGATGCCTTTAATTATCCATACATTGGTTTTAAACAGCTTTTTATAAGTTCTAATATGGAAGCTTTTTCAAATATTTTTAAAATTGTGTTCAGAAAAGAATTGAACTTTGAATCCACATCACCACCATCATTATAATTCCCTATTTTCACTACTGAGATATTTTATAAATTTACTTTTAATGAAGTCAATTACCACTGTAGTTACCTTCTTATAATTATGAAAGTTAGAAATAGGTTTTTTGTCTTTTATAACCAATTGCTGAGCGTCATGATCGGATAGCTCATTTATCACCGGGTTAATGGAAATGTGTTCTGACCTGGAACTATTTATAGAAATATTATCAGTGGCAGAGTTGGAGCTACTCTGAATTCTTGTGGGTCAATTAACTATAGATGTAAGATTAAATGATGCTAAAAGGGAAGTTAGACATTGCTTACGTTAACATTCAGGGACGTAATTAATGTTTATGTCACAAGATATTCCACCAACATGCTTTATATTAATAAGCGTATTTAAGATTTCATGTTTAACATTGAAAGAAAGAAATAATGAAACTTATGTAATTATATTTTATATGAGGGGCCTGCCTAACAGCCGTAACACATCCAGATAAATACTTTTCCTTTGCATCACTTGCAAACTTTTTTCCCGATATGACGGGTAAAAGGCACTGGAAAATATTTGCCAAAATGTACCTAGCAGCTGACCAAGTATATATACAGTATTTCGTACGGAGAGCACTGAATGACTAATTGGCTACGTAAATGAGTGTTAGCAGCGATGTTGAAATGGCAGCAGCTCATGGGAGTTGCCAACGAGCGCTAAACGGGGCAGCGTTGATTTTTATTGCATTATCATTTATCTGTATTGATGAGGTCACTTCCCTGTTTCCTTTTTCAATACTTGTCAGACTACTTTTATTTAATTATTTGATTTTAGTATCTGTTACTGTAATGCGTATGTTTGGCCTCTTTAATGACTTGAGTAAGTGTCTTACAATATGAGCCGGGATAGCTCAGTCAGTATAGCGACTAACTACGGGTTGGACGACCGGGGTTCGATCCCGGAGGGGGGCAGAGGTTTTTTCCTCGAGCCTCTGCGTCCAGACCGGCTCTGAGGCCCACCCAGCCTCCTCTACAATGGGTACCGGGGTCCTTTCCCGGGGGTAAAGCCGGCCGGGGCGTGATGCTGACCACTCACCCCCATCTAGTGCCGAGGTCAAGGAAGAGAGGAGCTATACCTCCACTCACCCCAAACGCCTACATGGCGTATAGTGGGACAAACTTTACTTTACTTTACTTTTAAGTATCTTACAATATTTCCTGTAGTGAATGTTTATTACTTGCTTGTTATTAGATTGACAATTTAGGTAAATATTTCGTTTGATCTTTTGATGCCTTCAGTAATCCACTCGTATTTTCAGATATCCTGTTCACTTCTTTGGTAGGGAAACTTGCTTCAAAAATTTTTAAGAAGGTAATTAGGAATATCCTTAATTTTTAATCTACATCATGGCTGTTTAATACTGAGTCACAGTTTTCTTTACTTAGACGCGTTATATAGTCTTTGATACTTGATACTTTGACACTTTGACGACCTGTTGTTCAAGTGCCTGAGCACTGCGGGTCACAACTTTTTCGTTGGCTTCGGTAGGACTCCTTGGACGAGGATAGTCTTTGATAGTGTATTCTTTTATAAGTCTGATTCATTTCCTGTAATTATGTTAATTGGAAATTGATTCTACTTGACGTTGGTCACCAATCACTGCAATCGTACCCCAGTGTACACCGTCAACTGGGTCAAGAATTTAACATTAGCCAAAGTGAAGTCATATGTGGAAGGTGTGTTTACCCGCGGTATTTAACGAACGCAATGTTAAGTTGAATAGCGGGTCGTTAAACTTACTTCTGTTTGTAGTTATATTGATTTTCTGACTTACCGACTGACTGGCTCACTGACCAGCCG